ACAAATACATATTTTTAAATGTTTTGAATAATAATAGAAATTGCATTATTGGTAGTGATTGACTTGAGTTCTTATATGGTATTCATAAATCATTTAGTTTTCTGATGTTCAATTGGGGTATCACAATAACAACTATAATCAAAACCGCAAAAAGAAAACCAGCGCCAACATTTCCAATGACAAACTAAACAACCAGCAACCAGAGACAAAAAAAAAAAGGAAAATTATGTCTACTTGGGCATTATTATTGAAAATCAATGTGACAAAAAAACATATATACTTGAAAGAAATCCCTTTTAAGCTCTCGAGAATACTATTTTGTTCTTAAAGAAAAAGAATAAAGAAAATATATGAGACAAACTTTGTCTTTATTTTCTTCCAAAACCACTATTCATGCCATGATAGTGTCCAGGCTACACCACACTCACCAACAATTATAAAATTTCATATCTATGATGACTTGTTAACCACTACTTCTATTTTTAAAAAAATGATGACTTGATAACCACAGCTAAATCTGGATAAGCATATTGTAAACATATCATGTCTTCAAGGGCTGCATGAGCATTTATAACCCAAAACCCTCTTCTTTTTCTTCTTTTTGCTTCATAAATAACTTGCAGATCTCAAAGCAAGCCCATCCCTGACAATTCGGTTCTCAGAGGACATAACCAAAATAAAATGAATCAGCAGAGAACTACCACATTTTTTTATGGACTTTTTTATGAAGCATTAAACGATTGAAAACAACCGGAGTTACAGAAATGTGTACAGCAGATAAAGATAGCTATAATAGAAATGTTATCTGCATATGACCGATAATAGTTCATCCTTCTATAAATGTAAATTGGCGATTAAAAAAAAAACTAAAGATGGAAAAGAACCCTTTGGCGCTGTAAGAAAACATTCATTTCTGTAAGGAATTTTAGGAAAGATTAGCAAAAAATCCATATAGTATAATAACACTTCAGTCCTCTTTCTACATGAAGATAAAAACATCATTTTCTATTATAAATTTTAGTAATCAACAAAAAACTGAAGATTTGATATGATATCTGCTGCAATGAATAAAGTAAAATCAGTTCCAGTCAATATTAGCAAAGTACGAACCAGATAAGCAATCCGTGTATTTTTTCTTAACTAAGTAACTCTTTGTTTTAGAGGATGAAGTGTTATTTTTATAAACCTTAGGAGCTTTTTTGTTAACTTCCCCACGTCTTACTAAAATATGAATTTCATAGTAAAAATGGCATATACACACACTTAGGTGACAGGAAATCTCGAGGGATCAAAATAAAATTGCTCTTGGTGACCAATAATACGAGACTCACCAGAGATAAGCAGCAGGATTATAGGAAGTCGGATCCAAGGGAATCAACTCCCTTGGAGGATCAAGAAAAGTCACCACATCTTGTTCATCCAAGTAGGCTCGTTTTCCACTTTCAAGTACTTCATAAGGCTTCTCATCCCACGGCGATACAGACGACTCTCTCCCCCCACCATGAACAGCCCGGATTTCGCCGCAAGAAACTCGTGCAAAACGACCTGCAGCACGACAACAACACAATATACTGTTTGGTTTCCTAGAAAACATGAGAAGACGAAGAAACATACTGTTTCTTCAATCCATAACACGAACCAAATAACTGTTAAGAAAACCACCAGATAATCCAAATAACTATTAAGAAAAGCACTGTTTGGCTGCAGAGAAAGTGCGAGAAAAAGGAAAAACAAGGCCAGTTAGTTTAAATTGTTCAGCTGAACCTAAACAAGAAACTGTATTCAAATTTCTTGATTATGTAATCCGTTGTTCACCGAGAGAAAAGTTAGATTCAATTGGAAATGCAGAAAACTTGATCGTTTTAGAAATATTCGTTTTCTTTTGAAACGGAGGAGTTGGGGGAGATAAAGTTACCGGCGGGTACTGTAAACCGGAGGACAGGCAGTTGATGGTTAGAGAATTGGATAAGACGTGAAGAGGAGGGACAGAACGTTGGTACACTCCAGATTGTTGAGAGCATCTTCAGAAGCGAGGGAACAGCTAGAGTTTAAGTTTTCAATCTCCTCAGCAACGGCCAAGTTCTCCTGCTCCTGTTAAGTTCTGCAATTTTATTCTTATTTTTATTGAAAGTATAAATACTATTTTGTAATATATTATCATATTTTTTAACATTTAAGTATATTTTATAATTGATATTTATCATGATATATATATATAATTAAAAATATTGTGAATCTATTTTAAATTACTATAGTTATTTACATTTAAACTTAATTATTAAATTTTTATCTAATAAAAAGTTTTAAAAAGTAAATATTTTATTAATTATTCCATATTCACTCACAACTAAGATTTAAATGATCATGATTGACAATCTTTATCTTAGTTGTTAATACTAATACACTAGTATATTATGTAAGCTAAAATATTTTAACAATAATTTGTAGTTATATTAGTAATAATTATTAATATTAATATTTAATATAAATTTTGTATATTAAATTTAATTTATTTATTGTCAACTAGGTTTAATTTTTGAAAAGAGAATTTAGACCTAGTCATTCGACCTACCATACCCGGCCCATCTGGCTGTGGGTCGAGTCAGGAGGATGCAATTCCTTGAGCTCGGTCCATTTAGATGTGGATCGAGTCAGGAGGGTGCAATTCCTTGAGCCCGGTTCATTTTGATGTGGGTCGAGTCAGGAGGATGAATCCATTGAGCCCGGTCCATTTTGATGTGGATCGAGTCCGGAGGATGCAATCCATTGAGCCCGGTCCATTTTGATGTGGACCGAGTCAGGAGAATACAATTCATTGAGCCGGGCCCATTTTGATGTGGGTCGAGTCACGAGTCATTGAAACTGGCATAGATGTGTCTGATTTTCCCTAATTCCTCTTTTCTTTTCCACACAAGCGTAACAGAGAAATTCTCAGAGGAAGAAGATGGCTTCGAATGCAGCAGTTCCGTTTTGGAGGGCAGCAGGGATGACCTACATAACGTACTCCAACATTTGCGCAAATCTTGTCAGGAACTGCCTCAAAGAACCTTACAAAAGCGAAGCTCTCAATCGCGAGAAGGTTCACTTCTCTGTATCGAAATGGGCAGACGGCAAACCTCAAAAACCAAGTATATCTTCCTTCTACTGCTTCTTTATCATATCTGTGTGTGTAGATCTGGGAGCTGTCTTGATGATATAGGTTTCGTTTGGTTCTTTGATTTATTTCAATTGGAATCTTCAGTTCTTTTTTTTTTTCTCGTTTGAGTTCATTTAGTTTTGTTGTTCTTTTGATGAATGAATTTTATTGATCTAGCATACTGGGTTATTTTGCTTAAGAACGAGGGTGGTTCATTGGGAAAATCATGGTATAAACAAGTTTTTATTTTTCCTCTATTAGTATAACCTCTAATATGACAGAATCGGAGATGTTATTTGAAAAAAAAAAAAAAAGAAGCTTTTCTTCAGCTCTTCCGAAGCACATCTTGCTCTGCGAAGAAGCGGGCATGGATTGAAGGTTGATGTTAAAAAAACGGTCCTTGTAATTCTTGCTGCCTTTAGGGTTTGTTTGAAACAAATGAGCTATTTCTGAATTTCATTTGGCATTGTTTATTTAGTTTAACTCGTAAAAGATAAAAACTCAACTCCTGAAGGATGAGAATTCTTCTCCAAATAAATTTCAACTTGAGTTGAAAAATAGATTTCAAATTACATCAAAGGTGATGGAGTTTGAAAAGTATTATTTGAGTTTTAGTTACTGTTGGATTTTCATTCTTTCATTGTAACGGCCCCGGAAATTTTAAATGAAATGTATATTAAAAATGTCAATGTGGAAGCGAAGTCAAAATTCGATTAACATCCCTTACACTGAAACCAGAAAAAAATGCTCAAAATATAAAAGATCAAACTAACTAAAAGAGAAATT